TATATATATATATATATTTGACACAAGGAATCCTTCCTTTATGCATGTTTTGTATTAAAACGACAGACAAGGTAACTACAGTTGAGCTTTTTATTTAATTTTTCTTGTGTTCTGACAAGAGCTTTTTTTCTGGACAAAAAGTGTGTAAGAACTGTAATAAATGTTTCTGTGTATCCGAGCGCTTTCGGCTATACTTTTAGCCATTATCAAGGATGTATTCATATTATATATAATTATATAAAAATATATATTCTCATAAATAATTACATCGGCTACACAACCACATGTTTATCCAGACGTCTTACATTACACCTATCTGATCACAGTTCCATCAGAACACATTTAAACACACACTCAGATTTACCCGACACTATTAGGAACATACTAGTAGAAAACACAAATATATTAACTGCATCCACTTGCAAAAAAAAGACTAAAAATAATGGAAGCTCTAATAATAAAAAAAAAAAAGCCAACTCTTAACAATATCAACTATGAACAAGGCCACAATGTGCTAACCGTATTCGGAAACTAAAACATCACTACCACACACTGAACATACATAGAACACACACACTCTACTAAGCTGATAATCGAATCATCCTTGATAATGGCTAAAGGTATAGCCGAAAGCGCTCGGAAATACAGAACATTCGGACAGTTCTTACACACTTTTGTCCAGAAAAAAAAAGCTCTTGTCAGAACACAAGAAAAATTAAATAAAAAGCTCAACTGTAGTACCTTGTCTGTCGTTTTTAATGAAACATGCATATATATATATATATATATATATATATATAATATATATATATATATATATATATATATATATATATATATATATATTGTAGTATAAAAATCAGACTTGTATAAAGATATAAACATTTTACCTATATATATGTAATAAATTTATATTGGGTCTACTTATAAATATGATAATTCATAGCCACATTAGATAGTAGGATTTGAGTTGTATTTTTTTTATAATGTAATGTCCGTTCTATATATGAAAATTTAATAAATATATTTTTATTTCCATTACTTATTCTTCTCTTCCTTTGATAATATCTAACTACGGTCCTCTTAATTCTCGGCTATATTTTCATAAATTTATTTATTTATTTTATGAATTTATTTATTTTATTAATACATATTGCTAAAATTGTAATCCTTGTTTCTCTTGCAACCATATGCTCGTTATAATATTCAGGATTCATTTCAGAGGCTAAAATTTCAAAGTCTTATTTTTAAAATTTGACAAATTATAGATTTAAGTATTATTGGAATATCGACTATTTTTTCAAAAAGAACTTAACAACGTTAAACAAAAACTGATCAACAAACGGTTTCCCATAACTAATTATAGACCAATAAATTAAATATTATTCATGTGTCCCCAATATATATATATATATAATATAAATAACATACAGTAAAAAAATATATATATTTATTTAAAACCACGTTACACCTATCTGATCACAGCTCCATCAGAACACATTTAAACACACACCCAGATTTACCCGACACTATTAGGAACATACTAATAAAAAACACAAATATATTAACTGCATCCACCTGCAAAAAAGACTAAAAATAATGGAAGCTCTAATAATAAAAAAAAAAAGAAAAAAAAGCCAACTCTTAACAATATTAACTATGAACAAAGCCACAATGTGCTAACCGTATTCGGAAATTAAAAACATCCCTACCACACACTAAGACATACACAGAACGCACACACTCAATTAAGCTGAAAATCGAATCATCCTTGATAATGGCTAAAGGTATAGCCGAAAGCGCTCGGAAATATAAAACATTCGGACAGTTCTTACACACCCTTTGTCCAGAAAAGAAAGCTCTTGTCAGAACACAAGAAAAATTAAATAAAAAGCTCAACCGTAGTACCTTGTCTGTCGTTTTTAATGAAACATGCATATATATATATATATATATATATATATATATATATATATATATATATATATATATATATATATATATATAATATATACAAATTATTTCCTAAATAATATATTATGAAAAAAATAAAAAAATAAGAGATGATAAAAATACAAAAAATCATACCAACCAATATTTTATTCCTAAATCAAGGGTTTTTCTTCGAAACAATTTAATAATTATTGCAATATATAAACATACAAAACTTGACTCAACATAAGATTAAACATTTTGGTTCATTTCAAATGATTAATGGTATTAGGGTCAAAAAAAAAAAAAAAAGGTATATATTTTAAAAATATTTTAGCAAAAATTCACAGAACAAATAGTTTTTGAAATTTAAAGTTTCAAAAATTAATGGAAATGATAAACAAAAGAGTCTAATAACGTTCATTTTATCCAAGGAGATTTATTATTTTGTTTTTGAAGATAAATCCCTTTTTATTATATACAGAACCCATTTGCCCTTATAATGAAAAAATATGATATAGTTTAACTGGACAAGACAGTAAAACTTTTCCTATTGACTGAAGTTCTTCGCATTATCCCTGCAATTTATCAAATGTTCAGTGATCGCTGAAATTATAAAAAAAGTATTATTCCAACAAATATTATTATATTTCATTAAGAACTTTAAATATTCTTATTTTTTGCCTGATCATAAAATCTTTTTGTTGGGAAATGAATAACTGGTAGTCGCTACCGCAGATGTTATTTTTCTGAAAGTCGTCCCAATTTTAATTTAAATAAAAGAAATTTTTATTTTATTTATAAGAGTTGTTTTTTTTTTTTTATATTTTTTTTAGATTGATGAATTGATCGTTTTATTTTTCCAATGGAATAAATTATGACTATGGAATATTAGTGTTTTAGGTTTTTTTTATTATATCCTTTTTCCATGTCCTGGACATTGAGTTTTTTTGATTTTTATCCTTTTTAATATTTTTTGAAAAAAAAATATTTGTATGTGTATGCAACATACAAATATATATATTTATATATATTTTTTATATATTTGTATTTATATACTTTTATTATAATATATATATATATATATATATATATATATTTGAATATATATAAAGCGAACATGAATTTAAGAGAGAAAGAAAGACATTTGTAATAAACACAGACAAATAAATGCCCATATAAGAAATACACACACACACACACACACACACACACACACACACACATATATATATATATATATATATATATATATATATATATATATATATATATATATTCTATATATAATAACGCATAGGTTTAATCAATTCATTCTTTCAAAATTTGTTTTTGCTGAACCAAATGTAAATTTTCATCATGTTTATTAAAATCCTTTAAAAAAACCAATTGATTTTAAATTTTTCCAATTTTTAATTGTTTCAACATCTTGTTGAATGGAATTTTGTACTGTTAAACGTTTTTATATATTAATTTGAAAATATTTGATAAAACAAATCAATTTATCCTTTTTATGAATTTATATTTTTACTTTTTGTTTCAAAAATTTTTTAACATTCTTCCAGTTACTTTTAACGGTAAAATTTTTTTAATAGTGATATTGATTTAAATTGATCTTTTGGCTTTGTTGGTTTTGCTTATTAGTATTTAAAAATAGAAATATAAGATTTGTATTTTTTTGTTCTAACAGCCACCGATGGACTGTTGAAGAGGCAAGAAAAACCTTTTTCTTCGAAAAGACAGGCTGCATTTTTGATTATAAGATAGTCCTTCCTTTTTCAATTAAATTTCTCTTTTTTGCCCTGAAAATGTATTATCAATCTTTTTTGATATAATGTTTTCCTTAATCTTATTAGGATATGAATATTATTTATATATATATATACAACAGAATAACAGTTGATTGCGAGGTTATAATATTTATATTTAATTTCTTCTCGTAGAAACATGCGTATATTCTTTTTTGAGAGGCAATATATAATTTTTAGAATATTTATAAATCTTCTGTTGCGTGTTTTGTACCCTTTCATCTGGTTAGTGACTTTTTTTTTTATTTTAAGCTTTTTTTATAAAATGATGAAAAATTTCTGAATATTCTGAATAAATTTAGATTAATTTAAAAAATTTTAGAATATATAATTTTATATTGTTTTGATTGTTTTGTAAAAAATTTTTTTTATTTTTTCAAAAGCTCCTTAAATATTCATCATTTTAATCATTAGAATGCGATATCTTAGTAAATTTTTTGCACAAAGTTTTTTTCCTGAATATCATTTATATTCAAATTTATAATTATCAATAGAATATAAAATTTGAATAAATTTTTTCCTAGGTCTTTTCGGGAAAGGGTTCATTTATATTATGATAAAATTAAAAATATTTTCAAATAAAAAAAAGAGAAAAAAAAAATTTTTAGTAAAAAAATCAGGTTTTTATCTTTTAATGAATCAGACTATATATATATATATATATATATATATATATATATATATATATATATATATATATATATGGTGATGAAGGAATAAAAGAAGGAATACAAATGGATTTAAAAAGTTTTTTAAAAAATATTTAACTTTTAATTATCTTTTTTTTATAGCTATTATTTTTTCAATTTATTTGTTTATTTTTTATTGAAGCAATCGAAAACTTTATAAATGTAGGTTTTTAAAAACATGTTTTTTTTTAAATTTTTATTATTTATTACCTTTTTTGTCCTTCCTTTCATATTCAAAATCAATTTTCTGTTTATTCGATCATAATTTTTTTTAATGTCCAAAAAAAAAATCCAGCATTTTAAATCAACCCATCAACAACGAAATGATATTTACAGCTGCCACATCTCTCCTAACATCTACCGTTGTTCCAAAAGGAAAATTTTTGGAACACATGGAACTGATTTGCGCAGAAATATGACCAAAGGTGTTGGTTGGAGCCAATGTCGGACTCGCACCAACAAACAATTTCTGAAAACATGCCAGGAAAAAAAAATTAAAAAAAAAAAAAAAAAAAAAAAAAATGAAAAAAAAAGAAGGTTTGGTAAAAAAAAAAAAAAGACATAAAAGAATTTAAAAAAGATTTGAAAAAAAAAAAAATAGAAAAAGAAAGAAGAAATGAAGAAAAAAAAAAAAAAAAAGAAGAAGAAGAAAAGAAGAAGAAAAAGGAGAAGAAGAAGAAGAAGAAAAATGTAGAAAAAGTAGAGGAAGAAAAAGAAAAGAAGAAAAAGAAGAAGAAAAAGAAGAAGAAAAAGAAGAAAAAAGAAGAAAAAGGAGAAGAAGAAGAAGAAAAATGTAGAAAAAGAAGAAGAGGAAGAAAAAGAAAAAGGAAGAAAAAAGAAGAAAAAAAAGAAGAAAAAAAAAGAAGAAAAAGAAGAAGAAAAAGAAAAGGAAAGAAGAAGAAGAAAAAAAAAAAGAAGAAGAAAAATAAAAAAAGAAAGAAAAAGAAAAAAAGAAGAAAAGAAGAAGAAATAAAGAAGAAGAAGAAAAAGAAGAAGAAAAAGGAAAGAAGAAGAAGAAGAAGAAGAAGAAAGAAGAAGAAGAAGATTTAGAAAAGAAAAGAAAAAAAGAAAGAAAAGAAAAAAAGAAAAAAAAGAAGAAAAAAAGAAGAAGAAAAAAAAAAGAAAGAAAAAGAAAGAAGAAGAAGAAGAAGAAGAAGAAGAAGAAAAAAGAAAAAAAAGAAGAAGAAAAAAAAAAAAAAAAAGAAAAAAGAAGAAAAAAAGAAGAAGAAAAAAAGAAGAAGAAAAGAAAAAAAAGAAGAAAAAAAGAAGAAAAATTAAAAATATTCAAAAAGAAGGAAGAAAAGAAGAAGAAAAAGAAGAAGAAGAAAAAGAAGAAGAAGAAAAAGGAGAAGAAGAAGAAGAAGAAGAAGAAAAATGTAGAAAAAGAAGAAGAGGAAGAAAAAGGAGAAGAAAAAGAAGAAGAAAAAAAGAAGAAGAAAAAGGAGAAGAAGAAGAAGAAAAATGTAGAAAAAGAAGAAGAGAAAGAAAAAGAAAAAGAAGAAAAAGAAAAAGAAAGAAAAAAGAAGAAGAAGACCTTAATCTAAAAATAATATAACGAGAAGAAAAATGACTATATCAAAAAGAAGAAAAGAAAGAAGAGAGAAATAGAAGTGGAAAGGAAGAGAATAGGTATGAAGAAGAAGAAGAAGAAGAAGAAGAAGAAGAAGAAAGAATAAAAAGAAGAAATGAAATTTTAACAATAACAAGATGGCGACGACGGAAAAATGAGGAAAAGAAGGAAGTAACTAAAAAAGATTAGAAGAATAAGAAGTAATGGAAGAAAAGAAAGAACGAGATGTAGAAAAAGAAAAAGAAAAAATGATGAAGAAGAAAAAAGGGGAAAGTATTAGAAGAAAAAGAAGAAAAGGACGAAAAGACTGAAAAGAATAAATATGTAAATAAGTTTTAGTAAGAAGAAGAAGAGTTTATAGGGTGGGGAGGAGGAGAGGTGAAGACGAAAAGAAAGAAAAAGAAGAAGAAACAGATTATAAGGTGAAGAAGAGGAAAAGTGAAGAAGCAAAGAAATAAAGAAAGTTGGAAGAAGGAGGAGGAGGGAGGAGTGGAAGAGGAGGAGGAAGCGGAAAAGGAGAAGGAACAGGTTATAGGGTGAAAAAGAGAAGAGAAAAAGAAAAAATAAGTAAAGAAAAAGAAAAAGAAAATGAAAAAGAAGGAACAGATTAAGAAGAGGGAAAAAATTGAAGAAAGAAAGAAAGAAAGAAAGAAAGAAAGAACAACAACAAGGGAGAAAATTAAGAAATAATACTATTCAGAAGAAGAAGAAAAACATAGCCGTAAGAAGGGAGAAAATAAAGAAATAAACATAAAAATAACGTTCAAAAGTAGGAGAAGAAGAAGAAAGAAGAAGAAAAAGAAAGAAGAAATAAAAAGAAGAAGAAAAGGAAGAAGGAGAAGAAAGAAAAAGAAGAAAGAAGTAGAAGAAGAAGAAAGAAGAAGAAGAAGAAAGAAGAAGAAAAAAAAGAAGGAGAAGAAAGAAAAAGAAGAAAGAAGAAGAAGAAAAGAAGAAAAAAGAAGAAAAAGAAAAAGAAGAAGAAAGAAGAAGAAAGAAGAAATTGAACTAAAAATAGCGAGAAGAAAAATGAATATATGAAAAAGAAGAAAAAGAAAAGAAAAAAAAGAAAGTACTAGAAGTGGAAAGGAAGAGAATGGGTAGGAAGAAGAAGAAGAAGAAGAAGAAGAAGAAGAAGAAGAAGAAGAAGAAGAAGAAGAAGAAGAAGAAGAAATACGACCACCCACGTTTTTGATGTTTTTATTTAAAATGATTTGGACACACGTTTTCCGTTTCTACCCTCCCCAGGAAAGACTTTATTGTAAGACACTGGGGCACATGTTTGTGTGTCTCGAAGTGAATGTATCTACATTTCACGCACATGCTCGCAGTTATTTATTAATCTGAATTTAGTATAGCAGAATTATATAATTGCGCATATCTCACAGTAGATCAAACACATTACATGTAATATACCCGGCGAGAAAAGCTTGTTAATCTTCACACGGTCGTCGTGTCTTAGGGTTGTGGTTTTATTATATATATATATATATATATATATATATATATATATATATATATATATATATATATAATCAAGTCCGCATCAAGGAATGAATTAAAGTCACTGAGATACAAGAGTTACTGGATGTAATGGAAGTAGAAAATAGCGACACCACAAAGGAGGGAGTACAAAAGATACATATACCATAATTACCCATGTATAATACGCATTTTTTTCTAAAAAATAATAAGCAAAATTAGGGGTGCGTATTATGCACAGCTACAAAAAATCTTTTAAAAAATTGACGTTTCATAGGTCGATTTCAGTTCCGAAATAACTACTCACCACAAATATCCGATAATTTGACACTAACATTCGGCGATTGCCTCCCCATAACGATCTCAAATACAATCATATGTACCTAACAATACTTACAAATGTAAAATAAAATAAGTATTATCATAAAACTAAATTAGAATAAATATAATTCTATCTTTAAAACCATTTTTTTGTAAAAAAACTACATACAGATCCGGTAGATTGCATATTTTATCGAACAAAAACGGATTAATGAGTCTGCGCAGTAGGCACAATATAGGTATTTCCGGTTCCTTTTAGAATCGGGATGATCGGAAATTTTGATAAATATCTTCAATTACAGCTTGAATAAAAGTAGGAAGCGCCGGCCGTAATGAAATTGAAGAAAATACAATTTATAGGGTTTGATTACCAAACAAGGGGTGCGTATTATATGTGATTAAAAACCTTTTCCCACACTTTCAGCACAATTTTAATTGTGCTTATTATGGATGAAGGCGTGTTATACGTGGAGAATTACGATTTTGTTGTGTGTGTGATAGAATATAATTTTACGGTATGTTATATTTAGTGTGTAAAAATGCCCAAAGTCTGGGATAGAAAAGTGGGGTGTAAATATAAAACACTCGACTGAGGTTAACAACACCGAATGGCTACAATCTGTTTCATGCTTGACGAAAGTGTCTAAATGATGAAATTTCATAAATGCAAATTAGTATTAGAATTCTTTTACTTTATGTGATATGTATTTTAACATGAGGTGATGAATCTAACATTTTTATAGACATGTTTGTTGGCTTTGGAAAATGGTAATTCTTTCAGGAATGTAAATATTTGAAAAAAATACGGGGTGTAGATTTATATTTTGATAGTAGCTAAAAATAACAGCAGATTCACATGCTTTATGGAGATGCAGATTAGGAGTAGAGACCATAGAAAGAGACTGTATGCATGTCACTCAAGAGAGAATTAGTTCGGCAAGAGAATCAAGATTATACTATTTAGAGTTTAATTTGAGACTAATCAAAGTCATTTTCGGATGAAGCAAGTTCATAATGAAATAACAAAGTTCAAATAGGACGTAGCAAATTCAAAATGAAATAGCCAAGTTCAGAATGGGACGTAGCAAATTCAAAATGAAATAGCCAAGTTCAGAATGGGACGTAGCAAATTCAAAATGAAATAGCCAATTTCAGAATGGGACGTAGCAAATTCAAAATGAAATAGCCAAGTTCAGAATGGGACGTATTCAAATTCAAAAATGAAATAAAATGAAGAAAGTTCAGAATGGGACGTAGCAAATTCAAAAATGAAATAGCCAAATTCAGAATGGGACGTAGCAAATTCAAAATGAAATAGCCAAGTTCAGAATGGGACGTAGCAAATTCAAAATGAAATAGCAGAATGGGACGTAGCAAATTCAAAATGAAATAGCCAAGTTCAGAATGGGACGTAGCAAATGCAAAATGAAATAGCCAAGTTCAGAATGGGACGTAGCAATTCAGAATGAAATAGCCAAGTTCAGAATGGGACGTAGAAAATTCAGAATGAAATAGCCAAATTTAGAATGGGACGTAGCAAATTCAAAATGAAATAGCCAATTTCAGAATGGGACGTAGCAAATTCAGAATGAAATAGCCAAGTTCAGAATGGGACGTAGAAAATTCAGAATGAAATAGCCAAGTTCAGAATGGGACGTAGCAAATTCAAAATGAAATAGCCAAGTTCAGAATGGGACGTAGCAAATTCAAAATGAAATAGCCAAGTTCAGAATGGGACGTAGCAAATTCAAAATGAAATAGCCAAGTTCAGAATGGGACGTAGCAAATTCAAAATGAAATAGCCAAATTCAGAATGGGACGAAAAATGAAATAGCCAAGTTCAGAATGGGACGTAGCAAATTCAAAATGAAATAGCCAAGTTCAGAATGGGACGTAGCAAATTTAGATTGAAATAGCCAAATTCAGAATAGGACGTCGCAAATTCCAAAAAGAAATAGCCATGTTAAGAATGGGACGTAGCAAATTCAAAATAAAATATCCAAATTCAGAATGGGACGTAGTAAATTCAAAATGTAATAGCCAAGTTCAGAATGGGACGTAGCAAATTCAAAATGAAATAGCCAATTTCAGAATGGGACGTAGCAAATTCAAAATGAAATAGCCAAGTTCAGAATGGGACGTAGCAAATTCAAAATGAAATAGCCAAGTTCAGAATGGGACGTAGCAAATTCAAAATGAAATAGCCAATTTCAGAATGGGACGTAGCAAATTCAAAATGAAATAGCCAAGTTCAGAATGGGACGTAGCAAATTCAAAATGAAATAGCCAAGTTCAGAATGCGACGAAGCAAATTCAAAATGAAATAGACAAGTGCAGAATAGAACATAGGAAATTCAAAATGAAATAGACAATTTCAGAATGGGACGTACAAAATTCAAAATGAAATAGCCAAGTTCAGAATGGGACGTAGCAAATTCAACATGAAATAGCCAATATAGAATGGGACGTAGCAAATTGAAAATTAAATTGCCAAGTTTAAAACGGGACGTAGCAAATTCATATTGAAATAGCCAAGTTCAGAATGGGACGTAGCAAATTCAAAATGAAATAGCCAAGTTCAGAATGGGACGTAGCAAATTCAAAATGAAATAGCCAAGTTCAGAATGGGACGTAGCAAATTCAAAATGAAATAGACAAGTTCAGAATGGGACGTAGCAAATTCAAAAAGGAATAGCCAAATTCAGAATTGAAAGTAGCAAATTCATTATGAAATAGCCAAATTCTGAAAAGGATGTAGAAAATTCAAAATGAAATAGCCAAATTCAGAATGGGACGTAGCAAATTCTAAATAAAATATCCAAATTCAGAATGGGACGTAGCAAATACAAAATAAAATAGCCAAGTTCAGAATGGGACGTAGCAAATTCAAAATGAAATAGCCAAGTTCAGAATGGGACGTAGCAAATTCAAATGAAATAGCCAAGTTCAGAATGGGACGTAGCAAATTCAAAATGAAATAGCCAAGTTCAGAATGGGACGTAGCAAATTCAAAATGAAATAGCCAATTTCAGAATGGGACGTAGTAAATTCAAAATGAAATAGCCAATTTCAGAATGGGACGTAGCAAATTCAAAATGAAATAGCCAAGTTCAGAATGGGACGTAGCAAATTCAAAAATGAAATAGCCAAATTCAGAATGGGACGTAGCAAATTCAAAATGAAATAGCCAAGTTCAGAATGGGACGTAGCAAATTCAAAATGAAATAGCTAAGTTCAGAATGGGACGTAGCAAATTCAAAATGAAATAGCCAAGTTCAGAATGGGACGAAAATTCAAAAAATGAAATAGCCAATTTCAGAATGGGACGTAGCAAAAAAATGAAATAGCCAAGTTCAGAATGGGACGTAGCAAATTCAAAATGAAATAGCCAAATTCAGAATGGGACGTAGCAAATTCAAAATGAAATAGCCAAGTTCAGAATGGGACGTAGAAATTCAAAATGAAATAGAAGTTCAGAATGGGACGCAAATTCAAAATGAAATAGCCAAGTTCAGAATGGGACGTAGCAAATGCAAAATGAAATAGCCAAGTTCAGAATGGGACGTAGCAAATTCAAAATGAAATAGCCAAGTTCAGAATGGGACGGGAAATTCAAAATGAAATAGCCAAATTCAGAATCTGGGACGTAAAAATTCAATGAAATAGCCAATTTCAGAATGGGACGTAGATAAATTAAAAAATGAAATAGCCAATTTCAGAATGGGACGTAGCAAATTCAAAATGAAATGAAATAGCCAAGTTCAGAATGGGACGTGGGAAATTCAAATAGCCAAGTTCAGAATGGGACGTAGCAAATTCAAAATGAAATAGCCAAGTTCAGAATGGGACAGAAATAGCCAAGTTCAGAATGGACGTAAAATGAAAAAAATTTCAAAAATGGGAAATAAAATGAAATAGCCAAGTTCAGAATGGGACGTAGTGAAATTCAAAATGAAATAGCCAAGTTCAGAATGGGACGTAGTAAATTCAAAATGAAATAGCCAAATTCAGAATGGGACATTATTTTATTCAAAATGAAATAGCCAAATTCAGAATGGTACGTAGCAAAATTCAAAATGAAATAGCCAAGTTCAGAATGGGACGTAGAAAATTCAGAATGAAATAGCCAAGTTCAGAATGGGACGTAGCAAATTCAAAATGAAATAGCCAATTTCAGAATGGGACGTATGTCCAAATTCAAAATGAAATAGCCAAGTTCAGAATGGGACGTATTTCATTCAAAATGAAATAGCCAAGTTCAGAATGGGACGTAGCAAATTCAAAAATGAAATAGCCAATTTCAGAATGGGACGTGCAAATTCAAAATGAAATAGCCAAGTTCAGAATGGGACGTAGCAAATTCAAAATGAAATAGCCAAGTTCAGAATGGGACGTAGCAAATTTTAAAATGAAATAGCCAAGTTCAGAATGGGACGTAGCAAATTCAAAATGAAATAGCCAATTTCAGAATGGGACGTATGCAAATTCTGGTGAAATAGCCAATTTCAAAACGTAATCAAAATGAAATAGCCAAGTTCAGAATGGGACGTAGTAAATTCAAAATGAAATAGCCAAATTCAGAATGGGAGGTAAATGCAAATTCAAATGAAATAGCCAAGTTCAGAATGGGACGTAGTAAAATTTTAAATGAAATAGCCAAGTTCAGAATGGGACGTAGCAAATTCAAAATGAAATAGCCAAGTTCAGAATGGGACGTAGCAAATGCAAAATGAAATAGCCAAGTTCAGAATGGGACGTAGCAAATTCAAAATGAAATAGCCAAGTTCAGAATGGGACGTAAAATTCAAAATGAAATTTCCAAATTCAGAATGGGACGTAGCAAATTCAAAATGAAATAGCCAAATTCAGAATGGGACGTAGCAAATTCAAAATGAAATAGCCAAGTTCAGAATGGGACGTTTAAAATTCAAAATGAAATAGCCAAGTTCAGAATGGGACGTAAAATTTCAAAAAAAAATAGCCAAGTTCAGAATGGGACGTTCCAAATTCAAATGAAATAGCCAAGTTCAGAATGGGACGTAGCAAATTAAAAATGAAATAGCCAAGTTCAGAATTTTTTTTTTGTAAATTTAAAATGAAATAGCCAATTTCAGAATGGGACGTAGAAAATTTTAATCGAAATAGCCAATTTCAAAAAAATAGCCAAGTTCAAGAGCAAATTCAAAAATGAAATAGCCAAGTTCAGAATGGGACGTAGCAAAATTCAAATGAAATAGCCAAATTCAGAATGGGACGTAGCAAATTCTTAATGAAATAGCCAAGTTCAGAATGGGACATAGCAAATTCAAAATGAAATAGCCAAGTTCAGAATGGGAAAAATTCAAAATGAAATAGCCAAGTTCAGAATGGGACGTAGCGTAATTCAAATGAAATAGCCAGTTTCAGAATGGGACGTCAAATCAAAATGAAATAGCCAAGTTCAGAATGGGACGTAGCAAATTCAAAATGAAATAGCCAATGGGACATAGCAAATTTAAAAATGAAATAGCCAAGTTCAGAATGGGACGTAGTAAATTCAAAATGAAATAGCCAAAAGAATGGGACGTAGCAAAAAAAAATGAAATAGCCAAGTTCAGAATGGGACATAGAAAATTCAAAAATGAAATAGCCAAGTTCAGAATGGGACGTAGTAAATTCAAAATGAAATAGCCAAGTTCAGAATGGGACGTAGATAACATCAAAATGAAATAGCCAATTTCAGAATGGGACGTAGCAAATTTAAAATGAAATAGCCAAGTTCAGAATGGGACATAGCAAATTCAAAATGAAATAGCCAATTTCAGAATGGGGACGTTGCGCAAATTAAGACTGAAATTTCAAAATGAAATAGCCAAGTTCAGAATGGGACGTAGTAAATTCAAAATGAAATAGCCAAGTTCACAATGGGACGTAGCAAATTAAAAAGGAAATTGCCAAGTTCAGAATGGGACATAGCAAATTTAAAATGAAATAGTCAAATTCAGAATCGGACGTAACAAATTCAAAATGAAGCCAAGTTCAGAATTGGATGTAGCAAATTCAAAATGAAATAGCCAAGTTCAAATGGGACGTGGCAAATTCAAAATTAAATACGTAAGTTTGATTTGGAATGTAGCAAATTCATAATGTAATAAGCAAATTTTAATTGGGACTAAACATATTCAATATGGACAAAGTTTCGAAGTTGTGAAACTCGGATCGACAAGGATCATGCGAAACCGGGATCGACAAGCATCTTGCGAAACCCGGATCTTGCAAATACCTTATCGACAAGCATCTTGCCAAACCAGGATCGAAATTCCTCTAGTAAAACCCGGATTGTCAAGCATCTTTCAAAACACGGATCGAGAAGCAATTTGTGAAACCTAGATCTACAAGAATCTTGAAAATCTCGGATCAACAAACATCTTGCAAATCCTGTATCGACAAGCATCTTTCAAAACCCCGATGGGCCAGCATCTTGTGAAACCTGGATAAACTAACATATTATGAAACCCGGTGTCACAAGCATCTCGTGAAACTCGGTTTCCCAAGCTTTTTGTGACAGCCGGATCGACAAGCATCTTGTTAAACCCGGTTTCACAAGCTTCTTGTGAAAGCCGGATCGACAAGCATCTTTTGAGACCCGGTTTCACAAGATTCTTGTAAAAGCCGGATCAACAAGCATTGAAACCCGGTTTCCCAAGCTTCTTTTGAAAGCCGGATCAACAAGCATCTTTTGAAACCCGGTTTCACAAGCTTCTTGTGAAAGCTGGATCGACAAGCATCTTTTGAAACCCGGTTTCACAAGCTTCTTTTGAAAGCCGGATCTACAAGCATCTTGTGAATCCCGGTTTCACAAGCTTCTTGGGAAAGCCGGATCAACAAGCATCTTGTGAAACCTGGTTTCACATGCTTCTTGTAAAAGCCGGATCAACAAGCATTTTGTAAATCCCGGATCAACAACCATCTTGTGAAACCCGGTTTCACAAGCTTCTTGGGAAAGCCGGATCGACAAGTATCTTGTGAAATCCGGTTTCCCAAGCTTCTTGTAAAAGCCTAATCAACAAGTATCTTTTGGAACCCGGTTTCACAAGCTTCTTGTGAAAGCCGGATCAACAAGCATCTTGTGAGACCCGGTTTCACAAGATTCTTGGGAAAGCCGGAGCCACAAGCATCTTTTGAAACCCGGTTTCACAACCTTGTTCTGAAAGCCGGATCAACAAGCCTCTTGTGAAACCCGGTTTCACAACCTTCTTGGGAAAGCCGGATCAACAAGCCTCTTGTGAAACCAGGATCCGCTGGCATCGTGTAAAAACGAACTTTTTAGTACGATTGTCGATAAATCAAATATATCTTGATGCCTTAAAGGTCTCAGTTTCTTCATGACTGGATCATTGTGAAAATTGAATCGCATAATTGATACTGATGGCGAGGCTATTTTACGTTTACAATTGCCACTTCAATGCCTAAATCCTTATTAATAATCTGAATGTGTTTTTGAATACGAAAGTGAGTAAACAGTATTATATCAGTATTATAATAGACTAGAAGCATGACCCAGCGTTGCCCGTGCTTGATTCAAAAATTATACGAATCATACAGCAATCGCTATCACTTGACTTAAAATATTCTTTAAAGGAGTGCCCTTTGCCTTGCTGATGTTACTACATGCCTTACTTCTTGCCTATCTCGCACTGCGAATTTTTTCTAAGCTCTATACTAAACATTAAACCTGTTACGAAAAAAGAACTAAACAAACTGAACACAAAACGATCAGCTTTAAAAAAGGACTGGTAACTGGAAAAACAGAATGAATAAAAGAATGTTAACAACAAATACTTTTTCACATCCAACCCACTTCTGCGGAATCAGAATCAACGCTGAATTTGAGCAAGCGAATGAGCCAATTGGAGTAAAGTGCCATGCAGATTTAAATTTTTCCCACTTGTGATGAATGCAGCTATCGATTTTTTTGCATCCTAGTTAACATTCGTGTCAGTCAGCTGCTGGCTCTCACGCTGGTCAATAGAATTTTCCTGCCTATTCGTGGCAGCCAGCTATAGACTATGGCCAGTAGAAAATGGCCGCAAACTACATGAAAACTGCCGTAGAAGCATGAAAAAATCGATTATTTTCACTATCGATAGGAGTTGGGAAATGTAAAGTCGGTCTTGGGTTTCCCGCTAACTTGGAGCATGTGCATGTAAATTTTGGTGCAAATCCGTCGAAAATTGCGGCCGTGCATTCGTTACACACACTCACACACACACACATCCTGCTTTTTATAGAGATGTTTCAGAATTCATTTAATTCATTAAAATCATTTTTAAGTTTTATTTTCATAATTCTTTTTAGAATTCATTTATTATGATTTTATTTTTGATAAATAATCCTATTATAACTGTGCTCGCATCGTGCTTCATGAGCTCGCACGACCATTATGTCTTGCCAGTACCTCATAAATAATGAACTCTTCCGTTTTGATCATGTGGAGAGAGGGGAAAAAGACTCTCCTTGGATTCAAGGAGAAAATGAACGGAGAAGCTAGAAGCGTTTATCGTCAACTAGCTTCTCTGATATATGTTTTATTTATGTTCAGTAAGCAAATCAATAAAAGAAAGAACGATAGATAGATAGATAGATAGATAGATAGATAGATAGATAGATAGATATGAACAGACTGAGATAGATAGATAGATATGAACAGAATTAGATAGATAGATAGATAGATAGATAGATAGATAGAAAGAAAGAAGTGTTTAACGTCTGTTTCAGTGAAATTAAAAATGATGATAATTTCAAATCTTTTATTAATACCACATGACTTCTTAAAATTACGAACAGCATTCATATTTATTATTGTTTTTGCAATATTTTGTTTAAATTGTTAAGCTCAAATATTTAACGATAGGGGAGTATCTATAGATATTCTGTTGCCATAGAACTCGCCATAAGCTTACCAATAATTAACTTAATTAAGAATTATGATTCGTCAGAAATTTTAAAATAGGAAAAACGTAATTTTCACAGATCGTTCTAGTAATAATAAATATTTTGCAGTTAAAATGGTAATCTGATGGCTGGGGATGTGCAAATGATTGGGTTTTCGCACACAAGTCACGTTCTCTTGATGCCGTAATTCAGTTCATACGAGAAGGTTGCCAGGAAATTGACGTTGATGAAGACCTTGGTGCCAGAGTGTGCATGGTTTGGTTTGATTTATTTTATTTTACGGTATATCAACCTCAACGGGTTATTTAATGCTTTTTAGGTTAAGTTCGTATGAATAGAATATGTATTTTTTTTGTTGTTGTTGCAAGAAATCAGTTTACAGATCAGGTTTCATTGACGTATTTTTGCAAAGAGGGTTGTTGTCGAGTGTCAAATGTATCGCTGGTATTTTTTTTTTCAAAAATATATTGCTGGTATTTATACTATAGACCTCTATTTTTACATTTTCATAGTGTTTTTACCCCAGTTCAGGTGTTAGCTATTTGCCCATAGCTGGGACCCTAACAGCTGCTACCACACCGGATCAGGGTAGACCTGGGAACAACAGTAATTAAGAGATGGTTCAACGCTCCTGAAAACCTACTGAAAAGAGGTCTTGCTGCCGAATGTAGTTTATCGTCATACCCAGGACGGAGCATGTACACGAGTGTCCTGTCTCGGCTAGAGAAATATGTGAATGCCTTCAACGAGTTTGAAAATTTGAATGATTGATTTGTTCATTAAATGATGTGTTATTATTAATATCTTTGTGTAATCAATAAAAATGCGTTTTGTGTGCAGGTTTTGTTTTTCATTACATTATTGCCTACTTTTGCACCCCCTATACCTAATGTATCGAAAGAAATCTTCTTACTGTATTGTTACCCATCTAAGAGACCTTGGCTTCAACTGGTTCATTAATTTCTTTTAGATATCTCACACTATCCTTTACGTCTAAAGTCATTAGAGTTTAAGTAACGAGATATGATATCAAAAACAGATAACGTTAAGCCTATCACCTGAAAAGCGGGAAACAATTTCGTTACTTTCCACTGCATTTAGTCATAGGAAAATCTCTGACTCATGTTAGGATATAAGATCGTTTAGTATAACGCCATTCTGTACGACTAACGACACAGTAGGAGAAGTTATTAGTTTCGTTCTTAAATAGTTTGATATTATCATACTTATTATAAAACCCAGGTTGTGTGTGTGTGTGTGTGTGTGTGTGTGTGTGTGTGTGTGTGTGTGTTTATATATTGGATCGGATTTCCTACATTTTTCAACCGATTTCAACAAAACTTGCGGTGGTTATGACAGTGCCAAAAATTGGAAAACACAATTGTTTTTGAACGACATCAATTTGAAAACAGGATTAAGAGGCATCGCGAGAATGAAAGAGGGACAACTCATATCAAGTTATACTTATTATAAAACCCAGGTTGTGTGTGTGTGTGTGTGTGTGTGTGTGTGTGTGTGTGTGTGTGTGTGTGTGTGTTGGTTTAAATATGGTATCGGATTTCCTACATTTTTCAGCTGATTTCAACAAAACTTCACTTTTTTTTTGGCAGGTAGTGTTTCTTATTGTCTTGCACACTTTTGTCTTTATGTTTACATTCAGAATGCTTTAAAAATTCCATTTACAAGACAATTGTTTATAATAAAATTCTATTCAATCGATAGACTCATAACGATTGAAAACAATGTTTTTGTTTGAGTTTGGGTTTGACCAATTCGTAAGAAAAAACAAAAAAAACAAAAAATAAATAATTAAGACATGCGTGTCCGTCAACCTTAAACAATAATCTTTGTCAATTTTACTTTTCAGTCTTTATGATGGTCGATACTTGATCTATGTCAACGCCGGGCTCTACTGCTAGTAACTAATAAAACACGGGTTAATAATTTTCTTTGCGTGTAAACTACCACAAGGACCTGTTAGCAACCTTGACATATTTGGGAAGAATATCAGAATAATGAAGAACCTATACTGGCTGCAAATCGCCTGGATGCGGACATGAAAGTTTCGACTACGGTTGGCCTTAGTTCGTGAAGGTATCTTTGACGGAATCTAAGAGCTAATTGGAAGTTCCAAGGTGAGTATGGTGGGGGTAAGAGAAGATCCCAGTCAAATAGCACTAATTTCTACCAAGTCTGCCAATTGATGAGACACCTGACGTAAATATTTCTTTTTTATGTGTCGTGTCCTCTCAGTAACTTTCCGTAACTTCCCAGTGAGGAAAAACTAGCTAAAAGCAAACTGACTACATTCCATCACCGCCTCTAAGACCCCGAACTACCGCCAATCAGGATGAACGGGTGTCACTTCGAGGATGCCCCGTGCCTCGAAAGAATATTGGGCCTCAAACTCCCATACGACCTCAAGTGGAATTCTTATATACGATCCATCTCTAAAGATGCGGGTAAAATGAACCTGTATCGCTGCATTAAGTACTTGACTCCTATCTAGCTATTATCTACCTTTATAAGAGCCAGATCGGATCGAAAATCGAATACTGTTGCTCTAAGTGGAATTCCTATATACGATCCATCTCTAAAGATGCGGGTAAAATAAACCTGTATCGCTGCATTAAGTACTTGATTCCTATCTAGCTATTATCTACCTTTATAAGAGCCAGATCGGATCGAAAATCGAATACTGTTGCTCTATTTGGGCAGGACCTGCCCAGACCTCACTTTCCCAGTCTCAAAAGAGTTCAAAAGATTAGTGGAGTCTTTGTTGGGGACGAATTATTTTCCATCGTCCAACCTCTCTATCACAGTCGGGATATGGCGAGTCTCTCACTGCTCTGTCGCTACTACCAAGGAAAGTGCTCAGACGAAGAACGTCTCCTGGTTCCACCAGGCATAACCTTCACGGCTAGGACCCACCATGCCACTTACAAAATAGCAAACCCCCCACATTTCCTCCGTATTCCATCAGCGAGAAGTTCCACTCAAACAGCTTCTTCCTGCAAACCGTATGGAACAGACTTTGCAGACCTTGGTAAAGTTATGAATCCTCTTCTTCTTCCCCCATCTATGGGTAAATAGCAGGACAGACTGGGTTCTATAGCCTTGGGTGGCAATTGGTCGATCGCAGAAAGAAATGGCAACCTACTGCGGGAAAAATATTTGCCTCGTCTGTCATTTATCGAAAGGTACATGATCGCTTAAGCGTGTATCACCCATGGCATATAACTGACTGACTACCTTTTCAGTCAAATCCATTATATTCACTTACGTGCTAATAATACCCTTGGGAAAGGTATGAATCCTCTTCTTCTTCCCCCATCTATGGGTAAATAGCAGGACAGACCGGGGTCTATAGCCTTGGATGGCAATTGGTCGATCGCAGAAAGAAATGGCAACCTACTGCGGGAAAAAAATCTGCCTCGTCAGTCATATATCGAAAGATACATGATCGCCTAAGCGTGTATCACGCATGGCATATAACTGATTTTAAATAGATTATTTTGGCGATCTGTTGTAAAATGGCCCAAAATTTACCTTGCCCTCATTTTGCAACTGATGAAGACAATTCTTATCTTTGCAATTCTATCTGCCTAGTCTGGAAAAGATGAAATCTACACGTGGCCTGAGACACGTGCTAAGCGTGGTGTTAATGAAGTATTAAGTTGTGCAGCTCATATATCCCACAAACACACACACACAAATACACACGTATCCAAATACACATGGAAAAGATATGAATCCACGTGTTTCCCCCAGCTATGGGTTAACTAGTAAGACTTGTCCACTAAATCATTACTATCTCAAAACAAAAAAATTCTTGCAATATAAAAATATTTTCTGGCTTTAAATAACCTGCAAAGCGTTGATAAGCCGTAAAAAACGAATAAATCAATCAATAAACTTAGTTATTAATTTTCTTAATCTATATTGTCTGTTTTGCATTTCTACCATTTCTACATTTAGCTCCCTTACACTGTGGACGCTTGTTTACAAATTTATCTCAATTACATGTCCCAGTGGGTGAAAACGCTGCTTGAAGTAATCCAAAACTGACTTGACCCAAATAGTTCAATAGATGTCTACGTGGAGAGTTGAGTTACTAAAGGTAATTAACTGAAAACTGAGATATCCCGAAAAGGCATGGCACGTGGAACTAGAACAATATATCCCAGTGGACAAAATAGAGGATTCGGTTCAAAATTCCAGCGTAGATCACTTGAAGAAGGACGGAGCGTACAACGGCCGAAACATAGCGAATACAACAATAAAGATGAAGACAACAGTCGAAACAGTGTAAAAACTGATTTTTTTAAAACTCGTATATATATGGATTCGGCTGGAATTTGAACTCGGCTCTCCGATTCCTTAATGGATAGCGGCTAGGACTGAGGAAATGGAGAGCCGAGTTCGAATTCCAGTCGAATCCATTACATTCACTTACGTGCTAATACCCTTGGGAAAGGTATGAATCCTCTTTTTCTTCCCCCAGCTATGGGTAAATAGCTGGACAAACCGGGTTCTATAGTCTTGGATGACAACTGGTCCATCTCAGAAAGAAATGGCAACCTACTGCGGGAAAAATATCTGCCTCGTCTGTCATTTATCGAAAGGTACATGTTCGCTTAAGCGTGTATCACCCATGGCTGACTACCTTTTCAGTCAAATCCATTATATTCACTTACGTGCTAATAATACCCTTTGGAAAGGTATGAATCTTCTTCTTCTTCCCACAACTATGGGTAAATAGCAGAACAGACCGGGGTCTATAGCCTTGGATGGCAATTGGTCGATCGCAGAAAGAAATGGCAACCTACTGCGGGAAAAAAATCTGCCTCGTCAGTCATATATCGAAAGATACATGATCGCCTAAGCGTGTATCACGCATGGCATATAACTGATTTTAAATAGATTATTTTGGCGATCTGTTGTAAAATGGCCCAAAATTTACCTTTGCCCTCATTTTGCAGCTGATGAAGAACAATTTTATCTTTGCAATTCTATCTGCCTAGTCTGGAAAAATGAAATCTACACATGGGCCTGAGACACGTGCTAAGCGTGGTTTAATGAAATCTTAACCTGTGCAGCAGCTCATTATATCAACACGTTTCACTTTCAAAAAAAAAGAAACACTTTATTTTCACAGATGGTTGTAGGCATGAAAAGAAAAATCATTAATGATGAAATCTTTCCAGTCATTACCGCATCAACCCTCGTTCGATCAGGTGGTTCGCAGACACCCTAGTAACGGGGCCCTACTGTCTGGTCAGTGTTGCAATGCGATCTGTCCGTAAGGCATACCAAAAACAGATCTAAGTTTATAGCACCACGTATTCTTTCTTTCTTTCTTTTTATGTGCCATATCCTTTCTGGACGTAGGCGATCATGGCTCTCAACACCACTCTAACCCTAATTATCTGAGTCCTGAATATCCGAGAAATTATCATAGAAAATATTCATCCTCCGACAGGAATCGAACCTGTATCCTATACGGAACCGTCTTATAGCCTGACGTTCCTTAACCGATTATTTTTATTTGTTTATATTTGGATACACACCGAGTATTTTCTCTCATACGAATATATGAGATAAAATCAGAGGATTGTAGTCTAAAAACAGGAAAAAACGACCCTGCTAACCGAAATGCTCCTCTGTGGCCAAATCGGTAAAAGCACGTCAGGGTGTATGACGGTTCCGTATAGTATACAGGTTCGATTCCTGTCGGAGGACGAATATTTTCTTTAAAAATTTCTCTGAGATTCAGGCCGGTAAATGTTGTTAATACTGTTTATTATAAACAGAGCATTTTCTTTAATGTTTGTATCTATAAAAAGGAAGGTATAAACATAAAAAAATGTCTTAAAATAATTGTCGGACTTTGTCCATTTCATAATGTGTGACGTCATTTGTTTACAT